TGTATTTTTTCGTTATTGGAATTTGATGTAGTTTAACAAATAGCAACTGTTTTATTTGCTTAGGTTCAGAACCACTTGAGAAATAGATTAAGTCAGGTAGCTAGATATTGATTGCTGGCCTAAAGAGTACAGGCTTAGTTGTACACCAACAGTGAACTCCTGAGTTCCGAAATCCAGAATAGAGTAGCCTATTCATTCGAAGGGCAGGACACCTGTAAACCTTCTCCTGTGGAGGTGAATGCTACTGTCCACAGGAGCAGACCAAAATGCATCTACCAGTATCCCTGTGTGCAGCTAAGACAAAAGAGCATAGTGCAGAGTACTTTCAGAAGCCAAGGAAATAAATGGAGTTCAACAGTGAAATCCTTTGTCCATAATTAAGGAGGGTTATCACCACCTACTTCCAGTAAGGGGGATCAAAAGGTTGATCTCACAGCCTTGCTGTATAATAATTTTAGTTATTGCATAAGTTTATGTATAATAAATTTCTAGTAGAGGTTTACTTGAGGTTATAGGCTTAATCATCATTCCTTCCCATATTCAGAAAATCTGAAATTAAAATATTTTTGAGATAGTATTATATTATAGGATTAGTGAACTGAGGGGATCCTGTTTGACTTGTAAGGACAAGATTCATTAATCTGAGTTGGACAGGCTATTAAATAGCGTTGTTTACCCATATCTTCAGAAAAAAAATCACTTTTACTGTCATGGTAAACAACCTGCTTCCCTATTTATAAGGAAAGTCTGGCTCTCTAGCAACTTCAGTGCGAAATTATAGCTAATTTGCCTACGTCAGGTGGTCGTAATAATCTGGCCACTCAGTGTATATGCATGTCTTGCAACAAAAGCAATTAGACAAACCTAAAAACAAAATACATTTAACCTGTTTGAGAGTATATATTTGTATATTAATTCAGAATAAGAATATCTGTATTCATATAGATTGTGCATTAATTTTAAAAAAATTTACACATATAAGTACATGTCCTAATTTACCACTACATACCTATTTGAATATTTGCTTACTTTCCCAGTTTCCAGACCCCTCCCAGTTTAACTGGGCTGCTGAAGTATAATTTGAGTCATGACTTATTTACCTCCATATAGACCAAGTAAATAGATTCTCTTCCATGGCCTCAGGTAATACCTTAAAATTGATAAACCATTTCAAATCATAATTTGAATGAGAAAGTACAAGGTGATCCCAAGGAATCTGTAAGATTTGAGGGAAATATAACAGCATTCACATATTGGAAACAGGATACTAGAATAACGACAGAACTGTGAACTATCTGTGAGGATTTCTGACTTACTTGTGGTGGAAGGATAAAGGGAAAATCCCTTGTTGTTCAAGGAATGGGGAAAACACTAAAGTGTGTGCTGTGTTCCAGATATGTTTCATCCTTTGTTTGCTACCACAGGGGGATTTCTGTCGCTACCTGATGGCTATTCTTGGATATGGTATCTGAGAATTATTTAACTAGTTATCCTTTCTATGTGGGTGCAAATATACCTTGCTATGTATTTATCATTATAAGACAAAATATGTAACATAATTAATCCAAAATCAAACTGAAATATCAGTCAATGAAAAAATTACTACATTATATCTGTATAAAGAGGCCCAGTGAATGAAATTTGTGCCCTCGGGGGGGTCCCTCAGTCTGGCCTGTGCCCTATTGCTGTCCAGGAGCCCTCAGGGGATGTCCAACTGATGGCTTAGGCCCACTCCTTAGCTGGCAGTTGGAGATGCTTAGCGCTGCTGTGGAGGCAGGAGAGGCTTTTGCCACCATCACTGCACTCACCAGCTGTGAGCTCAGCTTCCCCTGTGGCTGAGCAATGCTCCCACTGTGGGAACATACTGACCAACAGGGGGCAGCTCCTGCATTGAGCGTCTGCCCTCTGGTGGTCAGTGTGCATTTTAGCAACTGGTCATTCTGCTCTCTGGTCGATTTGCATATTATGCTTTTATAATATAGGATAGCTTTTGTATACATTCTCTCATTTGAAGTTCACAATAAAATGAGATGTTGCCTTCATTTTACAGAGGAGGCAATGATAGGGAGTTTTTCCAGTTAAGGCAGTTGCTGTTATTACCCTCTTCATAGAAATGAACAAACTGAGGCACAGAGTTTTAAGTGATTTACTCAAGGTTACACAACTGGAAAGTGAGTTATGAAGCCAGGTGGTCTGACTTTGGAACCAGTGTGCAAAACCACTACACTGTAAAATAGAAGCAATGGGAAGGCAATTCTTCATCCAGCTCAAAACACATTTACCATTTTATTCAAGATATATTCTCAAAAAATGCTAAAAGTACTAAATCTAGTGACTTTTCTCCTGGGCTTCATTTTATTTAATTACTAGAGGCCCGGTGCACAAAAATTTGTGCACTCGGGGTCGTGGGGGGGGGGGGGGTGTG